ACCGAGGATATAGCCGAGTGCATGGTAACTCAGGACTTCTGCACCCTTGCTTGCGTGTCCCAGTCCATCTGGCACCCTTAGTCCCCTGGATGAGCTACAGTTGGACTGAGGGGTTGGCAGAGGGAAGGAATTTTCCCTGCCATGTCCCAAGAACCCCAGTGCGTCCTCTTTCCATGCACAGTATTCCACCCCCACCCCCACCCCTAGCTGCCGTATGGTGGTCAGTCTGTCTTCAAACATCCCATGTTGAGCAACTAGTTGTCAGGTCTGGGATCTGATTTTACTCTACCTGCAAGCTAATAAGCTAGCCTGCTGTGCCATGAATGCTGGCAAAAGACACAGAACTCCTGGGTCAGAGACAAAAGACTATTTACTCACAGCACAGCAAGCAGCTTGAGCATCAGTATATTTGTGTCTGTTCCGCTTGTCCCCAATTCCCTTGGGAGCATATAATATGGCCCAGATAGATGTTGGGCTTCAGTGGGTTTGCATCATAGCTGAGGAACACTGAGCTTGGAGAATCCTCCTCTTCTATAGCAAGCAGTAATCAAGCCTGCTTCTTGTCCCTGAGGGAGACATTATGTCATTCCTGAAGATTGTTCACTGCAAACACAGTCCTGAGAAATGATCTGAGTAAAGCGTAGTCTTGGCATTCTTGGCAGACCCAGCAAGAACATGCAGGACACTCAGCGCCATGTGAATTGCCTTTCCCAATTATTACACTCCACCTACAGCTCACACCCATTCAGCTAACTTCTCATCTTATTCTGTGATTGACAAAATGAGACCACTCCCTCTTGTTCTGAATGCTGTATCTCTTAATTATTGCCACCCAGTACTGGGTAAGTGTGCCACAGCATTTACTCATAACTCCCTGATATTGGTTAAAAAAAAAAAAAATGCCCTTCCTTCCCTGGACTAACCCTGAGAGTCAGGAGGTGACAGCGCCTAGAGTAAACAGGCAAACCATTTCAGCTTCCACAAGCTGTAGCAGGAACAGCGGGAGGGTGGGCACAAAGATGGTCCCACTAAGGCTGGCATCCAAGGACAGTTCCCAGGTAGAGGGGAACTGGTGCAGGAGCCCAGTAGAAGGAAAGAGCTTGGAGTATTCCCACAGCAGGCAGGTGTCATTGCTGAAAGGCCAAATGCCAGGCAGGGAGTACTGGGTGCCAAGGTTCCACCAGGCTGGACAGACCCTAAACCTGAAAGCCAAATAGAGTGAGTGGACCTCATCCTGGAGGCCCCAGGGCCCAGGAGTGGGGAGGGTTTGTGAGAGGCAGGGTCGACTAAGTTTTGTTCAGGAAGATGTCCTAACTGTGGGGTGAGGACCAGTAGTTCAGAGGAGCTGGGTGGAGTTTTGGCTGCTGAGAATTTACCCAGGTGGCCACAAGGACTGGCCAGTTCTGCTCTGAGCTGTGTTTGTTAGGAGGCCTTAAAAAGACATCTAATTAACTAGTACTCCACCAGTTATCAGGCCACTCCCAGTCACCTCTCCACCAGGTCACTCACTTCCTCTAAGTTATTTTACAGACTCTTTGGAGAATTCCTGACGGATCTGGATCTAACAGGCTTAAGGATATCAGACATGCGCAGAGCAGACAAGGGTGATTGACAGACGACTTGGGACCCCCATACATGCTCAATAGCATGGGAAAACTCAGGCCAAGGAAGGAAAAGACTCATGTCAAAGAACCAAATTCACCAGATATACCCTCATCTGCAGTAGCCAAGCCCATTTCAAAAGTGAAGAGTCCCTCAACCGCTTCCGTGCCAAGTCTTAGCCCAGCCCCATAATAAATAATCAATAAAAACTATGAATATGTAGAACTTCCTGATCCTGCCCACCTGCCTTCCTCCACCCCTATATGAACATGTATAATTCCCCAAACCTATAAAACGTAAATGCTTCCTCAAATCGAGGAATTCAATCTGAGGTCCATACCTCTCAGTTCCCACTTGCTAGCCTGCGAAATAAACTCTCTCTCTCTCAAAACCAGCGTCTGAGAGATTGGCTCCTTGCACGCTGGGCACGGACCCATTGGTCCGGTTTTCTTGTTGGCTCTGAGCTGTGTGTGAACCGCAGGGGGAGGTGCTGTCCCCACCCCGTGTACAAAGGAGACTTCCTAAAGCTGGGCCTTTTCGCCCTTGTCCATCGGCCAGAGTCAAGGCAGGTCACAGCCTGGTTTGGGGAAGGGGCTCTGAAGGTGCAGTTCTTGGCAGGAAGAGTTGGGGGAAAGAGAGACAGGGGATGGACGTGGGCGGCCCCAAAGACCTGGTCTGCCGCCTCCGCTGGGTGACTCGCCAGGGATCTGTGTCGCGGCAGTCCCACTGACAGGTCCTAAGGGAGGTACGCCCTGGCGTGGTCGCCTCGGGTCAAAGGGTCTGAGCAGCTGTAAACGACGCCTCCTCAGGACCCAGAATCCCCGCATCCTGGACGCCACCCCGGCTCCGGCCACCCGCTCAGCGTTTCTCCCTCGGCAGGTCTGCGGCCCCTGCCCTCGAGCGCGCTGGGCTCCACCGAAGAGCGCGGATGCGCAGGGACCTGCGGGCGTGGGGCATCCGGGTGTCGGGGAGCAGCGGAGCCTGTGCGCCTCCACATTCACAGCAACTCCCAGGGGCGCAGGGCACGGAGAGTGGCGCTGGGGACACCGCAGGGAGGCGACCGCAGACGAGTTGCCTGTTCCCAAGGACAGACCGGCCTTACCCCAGCGCCCTGGCCAGGCTTTCTCAGAGCGCCTCTGGGGGCCAGGTTGGCTGTTCACGTAAGGCCCAAGAGCTGTCCCGAGACTCTGTCCCTCGATGGCCCCGGAGTCCTCCCTATCCCCGGTGCTCAGGGTCCAGGAGCCCGATCCACGTGAGAGCAGTTGCAGCGCGAGGCGCAGCCAGAGCTGCTAAGGGATCAAAATGTAACCGTTTTTAATCAGACCGAAGGAAAAATAAGTTTCAGGGGAACTCACACAAGCAAACTAGGAAGGACATTACCTAAGCATAAAATTGGAAAAAATAAAACAAAAAGAATTATTGAGTCAAATACATGGTTTTATGAAAATACACAACGCTTACCAAGAATAAGATAGAAACACAAGTCGTAAAAGGTCTTGTAAACATTATGAGGTAACACGCACAACCGCAGGTTAAAAACGCAGCCGCCAGGTGGCGCTGACTGACCAGCGGGTCCACAAAACGCAGGGCGGAGGACGCCCCCAGAACCCAACGGCCCCGCTCTCCGGGCCGTCGTTCCCGGACGTCATGTGTCCCGCAGGCCAGGGCTGCGCGTCGCTAATCCCCACCGAAGGGGCACAGGCCGAACTGCAGGACCTCCCCTGAAGGGTTCTCTGCCAGTGGCGAAAACAGGGACAGGCTGGGGCAGGGCTAAAGCCCGGCCGGCGCAGCGACCTCGGGCCATCCCGGCCTCCGACTCAGGTCTGCTACCGGCCTTGGGCGAGGCCTCGGTTTCTTCTTCGGCACGAGGACGCAGCGCCACCACCTCCCGCGGGGACTCGGGGAGAACTTGGAGAACACGAGCACTGCCGGGTGCCTGAGGACTGGCCGAGCCCAAGAGGAGAGGAACCTGGCGTCCCAACCTACCGGCCACCCTCTGGTTTGGATCTGATGTCCTGCCTGGGTCCCTCTGCCCTCGTGTATGTGTGCGCTTGCGCCGGCTCCACAGACCAAGGACATCAGCACCACACTGACACGCGCACTGCTAACTGACTCCACCACTCCACCATGGCCTTCAGTTGCACCACCTGCAGTGGTGGGTACCGTTATCGCCATTTGCACAGCACTGCTGACTCTGAGATTCCCTCTGACCCTTTCAGCTCCTGTCCTGACTCACTAGGGTGCCATCGTTTTCAGAGGCCTCTGTCATCAGCAGGTTCCTGATCCTGTGGGCTGACACACCAGGACAGCTGCAAGGAGTCAGCCCACGAGAAACCCGGGAGTGATTGCCAAAGATGGACTTAATCTAGAAAAGCCAGACGAACCCCGTGGAAACATCTAGACCTAGTAGGGCAATTTGCACCATGCACCCTCCCTCCTTCCCTCTCCAGTCCCTAAATGGGCTGGAAGCTCCATTCCCAGCCCGCCTGAGCCAAACTCCAACAGACAAGAAAACTTGGTCAAACCGTATTTTCTGTGGTTTGCATTATGAAAAACAACCAGCATATTTTTCTTTTTTCAACTATATACCATTAAATGCTTCTTTAGACTGCACTCCCCCTCCCCCTACCTCTTCAACCCTTTCACACAGGGCTGCAGGGAACCGTAAGCCACCGGGGATCCATGTTACCTGAGCAGCACCCTTCAACAAGGGCACAGTCCCCTGGGGTACTAATGGTTTGGGGGAAATTCAGGTTGATGAGATAAAGGGATGCCCTAGAGCAAGGGTTCTTATCAAATAACTGATTTGAAAAAACATCTGGGCTGCAAGTGGTGATGGGGCAAAAGACATGAAGGAAGAGGTGGTTCCCATGGAAACCAACATGGAAAAATGCAAGCTTCTGAGGAATCAGGCAAATGCAATTCCAGTCGCTGACTCATGCTTATTCAGTCAGCAAGCACAGGTTAAAATTACAAGGTCCAGTACAGGGAGGCTGTGTGAAAATCAGACTGTCTGTCCACACTGCTGTGTTCAACTTTGCCTCCTAGCAGGCAGGATACCCTCAATAGACAGTTTCTCAATGAATCAGTGCTGGTGTCATTATACATTGGTACAACCATTTTGGAAAGCATTTGGATATATGTATCAATGTCCTTAAAAATGTTCATCCTGTTTCTAGGAACATATCCTAAAAACAATTTAAAAGAATATGTTAAACACCTGTAATTAGTCTCTGTGGAATAACGTATGTCTAAATAAGTTTTATAAACTATGTCAATTCGATACGTTCTATTTAAAAAAAAAACCTATCAACACTATTTTGTACCACAGAAAAGAATGAATAATACTAATCTTTTTAAATTTACAATATGGGAAATATGCAAAATACTCTCCAGTGTGAATTTTTTGGTAATGAAAAAATAGCAAAAGTGAAAAGCTGTGAAAATGGACGTAACAATATATTCTTTTTATAAATGCTCTTCAATAGTCTGAAAGGAAACATACCAAAGTGGCAGTGGTAACTTATTTTTTTCTAAGTAAGGGAATTACAAGAGCTTCTCATTTTTGCTTACCTTTCTCTCTTAATTTCTCTAAAATGAACATACAGTGCTTTTGGATTAAGAAAACAGTTCTCTTTAATTAACAAATGCCCCTCCACCCTGACAACACTGTGTGGACAATAAATAAAGGGAGGTAGGTGAGGGTGGAGGAAGTGCACAGTAGGATTCTGCACTGATGGACCCTCCTCTGTAGTCACGTGGAGAAGTCTTCTCGGAGGTGAATCCTCTGATGCTGAAACACATTGGAGCTGTGCCGGAAGGCCTTCCCACACTCACTGCACTTGTAGGGCTTCTCTCCAGTGTGGATTCTCCGATGCTGTATAAGGTAAGTACTCTGGCTGAAGGCCTTCTTGCAATCAGTGCATTTGTATGGTTTCTCTCCATGGTGTGATCTTTGGTGGTGAATGAGTCTGGAACTGTTGTGAAAGGCCTTCCCACACTCACTACACTTGTAGGGCTTCTCTCCTGTGTGGATCCTCTGGTGTTGGATAAGGTGTGTGCTCTGGCTGAAGACTTTGCCACAATCATTACATTCATAGGGCTTCTCTCCAGTGTGGCTTCTCTGATGTTCAACAAGTTTGGTTTTTTGGATGAAGGCTTTCTCACATTCATTACATTTATAGGGTTTCTCTCCAGTGTGAATTCGCTGATGTTGGATAAGGTTAGAACTCTGGGTAAAGCCTTTCCCACATTCTTTACACTCAAATGGCTTCTCCCCAGTGTGAGTCCGCCGATGTCGGATAAGGATTGAACTATCACTGAACGCCTTCCCACAGTCGTTACATTTATAGGGTTTTTCTCCAGTGTGGATTCTCTGGTGATAAATAAGGGAAGAGTAGGCACTGAAGTGTTTCCCACACTCACCACACTTGTAGGGCTTCTCCCCAGTGTGAATCCTCTGATGCTTCATGAGGTTGGGCCTCCGATTGAATGTCTTCCCACACTCATCACACCTGTAGGGGATCTCCCCTGAGTGCATCCTCCTGTGATTGATGAACTCGCAGCTCTGGCTGAAGGCTTTCCCACACTCATCACACTTGTAGGGCTTCTCCTCACTGTGAAGCTGCTGATGCTTAACAAGGTTAGCACTATACCTGAAGGTTTTCCCACAGTAGCTACAATAATGCAATTTTTTCCCAATTAGAATTTTCCGATCTTCATTAACAAGTGAATTTGCATTGTAGATTTCCCCAAAATCATGAACTGTATTTGGTTTTTTTGACCTGTGCACACGCTTGTGGTTGTTGAGGTATGATCTCTGCTCAAAACTTTGCTCACATATATCGCATTTGTAAGGTCTCTGATCTGGGATAGGGCTTGACCCCAACCTGAAGCTTCTCCCAGATTCCTGACCCCTCTCCTCACCAGTCACCATGACTGGCCTAGGGCCTTTCTGCCCCACTGGCTTGTCCAGGCACTCCTCTAGCTCCCCAACGTGCTCAATGTATTCTCCCAGGTGAAGTTGCTGGGGAATAATCCCCCTGAGTTGATCTAATTGTTCTCCATCAAACATCTCTCCTGAAGTCAACTCCTTGAACTCAGTCCTGGTCCCACAATCTGAAACAACAAACAGAACATTTGAGGGTCACCTGTTCTGACTCTAGAAGGAAGGTATGAGGATGTTGCTTACCACTTACAGAAAAGCAACTTCATCATCTCCAAAGTCACAAAACAGTCTTGCAGAGATGAGTGCCTGGAACTCAGAGGCTTAAGGACCTCACCCAGGGCCACAGTTACGTGGCAGTGCAAAGATTTCAACCCAGGTCTGATTAACTTTAACACCTATGCCCCTCCATCATTCACCCATGTGCCTGCCTGCCTGTCTTCTGCCCACAAAACTGGCCTGAGTGGGAGTGTAGGAGGCCTGTCCTTACCACTGCCAAAAGGACAGAAGATGGAGGTTCAGAGCACCATGGAGACCAGAGCAAGGAGAGGTCCCAAAGATCAGGAAGGACATTTGACAGAGAAACAAAGGCCAAGAAAATCTAAGGCCTCCTTGCAACAGCTAATCCACCCAAAAACATGGAAAACCAATCACCTTCCAGGGAGGGTAGAAGGCCAAGTACATGCCAACCCTGAGACGGAGGGGTGGAAGCATGCATGGGCTGGGGGTCTCTTGGCTCTCCATAGCAGGCCACATCTGTTCCCAAGTCACTCCCCAGGTGCCTGAGGGGTCACCTCAGTGAGCCACCAGCACCTCAAACTTCAAGGCACCCACACAGAATGCTCCATGATACCCTCAAATCTCTATTCCTTCCTTCCTTTCTTGACTCAACACACATATTCCCAAGCTCCTCCTGTATGGCCGTTTACCAGGAGGAAGACAGACAGTGACAAGCAGCCAGGTGGACTCCTGCTGTGTGACCCCTCAGAGATCAACACCAGCAGCAATACTTAGGATCAATCCTGGCCACTACTTGCCAGCTGAGTGACCTGGGGCAACTTACCTACCTTTGTGAGCCTCAGTTTCCCCATCTGAATAACAAAGGTCATACCAGCTGCTACCTTATAGCACTGTCATGAGAATGAAAAAGGATTAAACAACAGAATGGCTGTCAAGCACTCAGCAACGTGCCAGCACCACACCTGATGCACTGAGTCTTGAAAACAAGCAGCTGCACGACTGCTACTCTCCTCACTGCTCCCTTTCCACTCCTGAGGGTCCCACCGACCTCTCCACTGCAAATAGCCAATTAGCATATGGAAAGGTGCTGAACCACTTTATACCTCAGAGACATACAGGTTGAAAGCATGGGGTGCTACAACCACACACCCACCAGAATGGTACCATAAGAGAGACAACTAAGTGCCAGCCAAGATGTGTAGCAAACAGAGCTCACAGTCACTGTGCTGGGAGTTTAAGCTGGAGCTGCCACTTTGGAAAACTGCTCAGCAACATTGTCTAAAGCAGACTATGCATACCTTATGACCAGCAACTGTACTCCCAGGTACATACACAAGAGGAACGCATACTCTGTGCACCAGGAGAGGCACATACAAGAACGTTCTCAACAGTTCATGCACAACACAAACTGGGAACAACCAGATGTCTTCCACAAGTAGAATGGAAAATAACTTGTGGTATGTTCACACGAAAGAACACTATATGGCAACAAAATAGAACTGCTGCTCCATAAAGCAACACAGATGACTCTCACGTATTAAACTAAAGAGGGGCCCTGTGGGAGTGCAATGCGAATGATGAGAGGAGGTACAGGGGCTACTGGGCACCTGTAAAATGTTCCATGCCTTGAGTAGGGCAGGGTTTTCGGCAAAACTTCACTAAGACATAAATTTAGGTTTGTGCTGTTTCTCTAAGTATTTATATTCAAATAAGCAAATTTACAAAAGAAAAACACAAGTCCTTTGAGCCAGTAGTTCCCTCCTAGGACATTATCAGACAACTGCCAAAAAGATAAACGTGTATGATGATCATCAGAGCCATCCATGGCAGTGAAAACTATAGAACAACCTTCCCACTGGCACTTCCGTCCTTGTGCCACCACACAGCCACAGAAACAGTCACCGAGACTCGTGTATAGATATGGAAAAGCACTTAGTGAAAAAAAGCAGATGACACAACAGCGCACATGGAATGATGACATTCCTGTTAATAAACAGTGTTTGCACATGGATGAGAAAGGTAGAGCAGGACATTTACTAAAAAGTGTCTCTAGGTAATGAGATTTGGGATGATGTATATTCTCTCACTTTTCCATCATGGTCTATAATCATCAGGTGGGTTAATTCAGAAAAGCAGAGAATGAAGTAATGGTCTCCATCACTGTGTCCTTCTCTAACTCTCGTTGTAGGGCATGAGTTTTGGAAGGTAGGGCTGAATCCCCACCCCTGCATGGTCTCTGGGGTGCTGTGGGCCCCTAGCCTCCCCGCACAGGACACCCCTCCTTCTGCAACCCTTCACCCTTCTCTGAACCAGCTCTGCCCAGATCCCCCTTCCCACATCTCCTCCCCCAATGTTTCCCCTTCCCATCCTCCAAGACAGCTCAAGACCATCCCCTCTGAAGGATCCCCAGGTTGATGGAGGGTGACTGTCACAGGCTTGGGCAGAAGCCACTCTCTTAAGCCTCCTGTGCTGGCCGTGATGTATCTTCTTCCAAATTCCTGAGTCATTAACCAGATACCTTGGACCCCAACAAATGCTTGTTCAGCAACTGAGCTGGCAGTGGGGCAGCTGCCCTTCACTCACCTGAGCCATCAACTCTCCCCTTGGTGCTCTGCACATCCAGGACCCACGGCTCATGCCCACGTTCCAGCTGTGAGATCACCCCAGGTTTTGGACCTGTGAGTCCTGTTCCTGGGAAGGAGATGGGGCTAGGGGTTGGTACCAAGGGCACGGGCTGAACTGGTTCACTCTAGCACTGGAGGTACACTATGTGTGTCGGAGACCCAGGGACATCTGAACACCCTGTGGAAGCAGGGACTCAACATTGGGCCAACAGTACTCCTGAAGATGAAGATCTAAGCACAGGGAATATGAGCCCAGGCGCTCTCTCCACTGGAGGTGGGAAACCCCTGGGGATGGGTCTGTCTGAAGCAGGGAGGTTGTTCTCTTCCAGGAGCTCAGGGAGGGAAGGACTGACTCAGGGAGGCTCCCAGCTTCACCTGTCCCTCCTCCCCACAGACTAGGCCTGCTTAGGATCAGGGCTAGCATCTCCCATCTCTGGGCCCAGGGCATGAGAAGCCTCTAAGCCCTGGCCCAGCCCCAGCCAAGCCTTCGGTCCCCAAGCTGTTCACAGGGCTGAGTCCCAGGGAGGCACCTCACCCAGCGAGATCAGGTTCCTGTAGGTCTCCAGCATCACGTCCCTGTAGAGGTCCCTCTGAGCAGGGGCCAGGCGACACCACTCCTCCCGGGAGAGTAGCACAGCCACATCCTCAAAGGTCACCGCAGCCTGGAATGACAGGACCCTGCTGCAGCCCCAGGATCCAGCCCAGTGTGGAGCCCTGGGTAGGAGGGCAGCAGAGGTGTGCTGGAGGCAGCAGCACAGGGCTGTGAGGGTCACCCCGTCTGCTGTCTGAATCCCAGCCCAGGACACCTGACTGTTCACCAAGGTGGGAAGCTCTCAGTGGAGACCTCACACATCCCAAAGAAGACAGACACTCACCTGGGGCTGGGCAGACAGGAGCTCTGCTGCCATTGCCAGAGATGCCCTGGATGTTCCAGGGGCTACAGGCAGGACCCAGTCACACAGGTACTGAGGGGAGAGAAAGGAACATGTGGAGGCCCAGCCTGGCCCCTTCTTCCACAGCTGGGGCCCCTTTCTGTTGTCCTGCCCCTGTGCCTTCAATGGCCCCCTCCTGCAGTCACCAACTCCAGGCTGGTCCCAGGGCACTGCCCACCCACAAACTCTGCTGTTCCTGAGAGCCAGTTCTGAGGCAGGAGGCCTCAGGGCCCCTGTCCCAGGCCATCCCCATCACATGTCCCTATCCCCCAAGGTACAGGAGAGTCTACTCTCTGCCTCTGGCTTCCCGTCCCCAGGCCTGTCCCCATGGCTCATGCGGAAGGTCCCCCAACTCAACTACCCCCTCAGGTTGTCCTCCTCCTCCTCCCTCGTATGCTGAGTTGTCTCATTCTGGAGGAGGGCGGAGATACTCGTTCACTTTATATAACAGAATAGAAACAGAACGTTAAGGGTTTAGGAAAAAAGGGAAATAAAATCAACAACATATAGAATATAAAAAACAAAGTACAAACCAAAAAAAAAAAAAACAAAGCCATTGCTGTTGAGTGGATTCTGACTTATAGCAACGCTACAGGACAGAGTAGAACTGCCCCACAGAGTCTCCAAGGAGCATCTGGTGGATTCAAACTGCCAACCTTCTGATTAGCAGCCATGCTCTTAACCACTGCGCCACCAGGGCTCTGAGACAAAGTACAGAATATAAAAAAACACAAAATAAGTAGTAAAAAGAAGTCCAAACATATGAGCAATGGTAAGAAATATAAAAGAATTAAACTCACTTATTAGAAGCACAAGACTCTCCAATTAGATACACAAAATACAGCTATTTGACCTAAAATAAAATAACAGAAAGGCTGAATACAAGTAAGACAGACCTGACAAACACTAAAATAAAGTTGTTGTAGCTATATACATTTTCCCATATGTTTTAAGTCTTTTACTGAAACATGGCATTTCTACAGAACAGTAGACAAGTCCTAGGTGTACAGCCCAGTAGAAAATGACAAATAGCACAGGCCCACATAACCAGCACCCAGATCAAGAAGAACAGGACCTGCTCCCAGATACCCTGTGCCCTTGCATTCACCACCCCACCCCCAACCCAAAACAGTGAACCTCTATTCTGACTTCCAGTTCCACAGATCAGCTGAGCCTGTTTTAAACCTGATGAGTCTACACTCTGCTCAGCATGGTGTTTGTAAGCTTCATGTATATTGCTGTATGTGGTTTAGCTATAATACCAATCAAAACAGAAGTGAGAGCAAAAATCATTAATAGGAACAAAGACTGACACTGCGTATTATAATAAAAAGAGAAACTCACCAAAAAGCTATAATAATTACAAACATGTACATATCTAATTATAAACCTTCAAAATGTCTAAAGCCTAAGTTAACTAAACTACCAAAGAGGAACTGGCAAATCTTCCTCTGGAATGAAGGATTTTTAACACACTTCCCCCAGAAACAAGATCAAGTAGAAAACCCTGCACTTAAAAAATAGATAATACATATATTTTCAATATGCACACTGAATATTACAAAAAGTAACCACATACCAGGCAACAAAGGGAAGTCTCAACAAATTCCCAATGCTGATATCATTTGGCAAGACATTCTCAGATCATATTGTTGTTATACTAGAAATATCTGATAAAAGGAACCCCCAAAAACAACAACATAGAAAATGGAAACAAAGGTGGAAATGAAAACAAAGGCTAAGAAATAGGTACAGGCTTAACGAACTTAACATGAGATTGAAAAACAGGATGATCCAAACATTCAACAAGAAACTAGAAAGAAAATAAAGTAATTCAAGGAACGAAGATGGAAGAACATAATGAAAACATGATTTAAAGAAACACAAAACAGTCTAAATATTGGTTATTTGAAAAATGCTAATAAAATACATAAACATCTGGCAAGTCCAATCAAGGCGGAAAAGAGACAGCAAAGCAAATGCTATTATGAACAAGAAAGGGGGCACTTTAGATTCTGTAAGCAGTGGTTCTCAGACTGTGGCCCCGGAGCCCTTGAAGTTTGGCGTGCTCAAGACTGTTTTCATAACAACACTAAGATGCGTGTGCTCTTTCACTCTTATCCTCTCACAACAATACAGTGGAGTCTTTCAAAGGCTACGTACACATGTTGATGGCTGATGGTTTCTGCAGTAGTATATCCTTTTGTTTTAAATTTTTCAGTTTTAATTTAAAATATACTAAATATTGATAGGTATGACACAAAACCTCTTTGGGGGCCCTCAATAATCTTTAAAGTATAAAACCATAACATATGAGAACTGCGGCCATAGACATTTAAAAGCAATAATATTATAAAGAACTATAAAAACAATTTAAAATAGATAAAATGGACAACACACTCAAGAATAACATGAACCTGACTAGACAATAACATCATGATAAATGAAGAAAATACTGAAGTCAAGGATTTCATTTTACTTGGATCCACAATCAATGCCCATGGATGCAGTAGTCAAGAAATCAAAAGACACACTGCCTTGGGCAAATCTACTGCAAAAGACCGCTTTAAAGTGTTACAAAGCAAAGATGTCACTTTGAGGACTAAGGTGCACCTGACCCAAGCCATGGTATTTTCAACTGCCTCATATGCATGCGAAAGCTGAACAATGAATAAGGAAGACCAAAGAAGAACTGACGCCTTTGAATGGTGGTGTTGGCGAAGAACCCTGAATATACCATGGACTGCTAGAAGAATGAACAAATCTGTCTTAGAAGAAGTACAACCAGAACGCTCCTTAGAAGTGAGGATGGCAAGACTTCATTGCACATGCTTTGGACATGTTATCAGGAGGGGCCAGTCCCTGGAGAAGGACATTATACTTGGTAGAGGGTGAGTGAAAAAGAGGAAGACCCTCAATGAGATGAGCTGACACAGTGGCTGCAACAATGGACTCAAACATAGCAACGACTGTGCAGATGGTGCAGGACTGGACAGTGTTTCATTCTGTTCCACACAGGGTTGCTATGAGTCGGAACAGACAATAAGCATTAAACAAATTGAACTGGTAGTCAAAGATCTCTCCCAGCCAATGGGTAGAAGACCCAGGTAGTTTATTGGAGGTGGGGAGAGTACAAATCTCTTAATTAACAGATAATTCTATCTTCATTCGATTTGTTTTAGGAAAAAAAAAAAATAGTGAATGCTTTCCAATTCATTCCATGAGGTTAATATAACCAGACAAGGAAAATATAAGAAATTAGAGGCCAACTCCATTTTATGAACATAAGTGCAAAAATCTTTATAAAATGTTAGCAATTCAAATACAGCAGTATAAAAATATAAGGTTAAATAAAAATCCTAAGCAGTGTAATTTAACAAACAATAACATATGTATGTAAGGACTGAGTAGGTTTAATTCCAAGAATGTAAGGACAATTCAACTTTAGAAAATCTATTAAAGTGCTACATCTCAAGAAAGAAACATCTGACAAAAAATGAACTCATGTCTACTACGTAAAAATAAATAACTTAGCAAACTAGGAACAGAAGGTAGTGTTTCTAATCTGATAAAGACTATTAGAAATCTATAACAAACATTACACTGGGTGGTATCATATTAGAAGCATTCCTACTGGAGTCAGTGACAACACAGATGCTCCCTCTCACTGCTGCTATTCCACACTGTACCAAAGAACCAAGCCAACGCAGTAACAACAACAAAAAAACTCCGTTGCCATCAAGTTGATTTTGACTCATGGCGACCTCATGTGTCACGTCATGGAAAAAAAAGTACAGGTAGCCTCCAACTACAACAGGGTTCTTGTTCGGACGGTTCCATCATAAGACGGTTCTGACCTAAGTCAAATACCTCATTTTTTGTTTAGTTTTCATTATTATTCCGTTTTATTATCAGTATCTTTATACACTGATCTTTGTCTTTGGGGGTTGGAAACATTACATATAAACTTACACATATATTTTAATACATACATACATATATTAAAAAAATACACAAATCATAAAAAAAAGGATGGCCGTAAGTGTAGCTCGTCGTAACTTGAATATGTTGTAAGTCGGGGATTACCTGTACAAGGAATAAGAATTGGAAGGGAAGAGATGAAACTGCCATGATTTGAGAATGATAAAATCATCTATACAGAAAATCCAAGAGTATCAAATAGTTACATAATACCACTCCTATCTATAACCAAAGCGACATTCACAACAGCTACGAAAACTATTCACTAATATATAAGGACTGTACGGACAAAAGTAAAAAACTTTGCTGAAGGACATTAAAAAGACCTAAAATAAATAAACAGACAATATTCATAGATGGGAGGGCTCAATATCATAAAGATGTCAATTTTCCTCAAATTGATCTATTAATTCAATGCAATTACAGTCAAAATTTCAATAGAACCTAACATGAAACTTAACCAGAATGACTCTAAATATCTCATGAAAAAGTAATGATCCAAGATTAGCCAAGGCAATGCCAAAAAAAAGAACTAAAGAAGGCAGGGGCTTGCTTTCCAGATATCAATACTTATTATGTTAATGACATACCTGCAATGATAATGGCGATGAGGAAGGATGTGCTATTGAATACATGGTGTTGGCACCACTGGTTTTCCATAGGAAGAATAAAATAAAATTGGATTCCTGCTTCTATAAAAATATGTCAGGTGTTGAAGACCTAAATGTTAAAAAAAAAAAAAAAATTATAACTATTATAAAAAAATAATATACAAAAGTACCAAAAAAACCATAAAAATAATTTTTAAAAATCTCCTGTACAAAATACATCACAAAGTTAAAAGACAAGCTGCAGAGTGAAAGAAGATATTTGCAACATATGTAACAAAGGATAAGTATACAAAATTTCTAAAGAATACAAAAAGAAGAAAAACACAAATTATTCAATTAAAAAATGGACAAAAGGTATGCCCTAGAAAATCAGATACAGAAATTCAATCTAATTAACATCCAAAAAGATTTTCAATGTCTATAAGAATTAGGGAAATGCCAATTAAAACAGTATCACAGGACTTCTCTCCCCCAAGATTGGAGAAAATTTAATGCTTTGTAATATTAGATACTGTTGAGGACACAAGGAAGACTGGAGATGTTCCGAGTGCAGTAGGGCTGTAAACGCTATAGTCACTCTGGAAATCCATCTCACCAGAGCTGGCAGAACTCAAATCCTGCATACTTCCTACTCAGGAACCCTATTTCTAGGTATGTACGCTATAGAGATAATTGCTCACACACACAAGTAGATACACAAGAATGTTATCCCACGCCTGTGTATAAGAAAAACAGAGAAACAACCTCAATGTCCATCATCAAGGGAATGGGCAAATGAACTGTGGTCTGATCACAGCAGTGGAAATGAATGAATCACATCGTCAAGGACACAACACAAAGATATAAGGTTGAATGTTGCCATCAAGTTGATTCCGACTCATAGCAACCCTATAGGACAGAGCAGAACTGCCCCACAGGGTTTCCAAAGAGCAGCTGGTGGATTTGAACTGCTAACCTCTTGGTGAGCAGCCGTAGCTCTTAACCACTGTGCCACTAGGGCTGCATAGTATGATATACATGTAGCTTTTCAAAAGACAAACACAATATCAGGTGTGTAGAAGTATAAGAAAATGGGCTGAAAAGAAGGGACTGGGGAATGGTGGGCCTAAGAATAGTTTTACTCTAATAGTAATGTTTTATTTCTTTTCTTAAAAAAATAAAGGCTTCAGAGCTGGAGAAGGATGTAGAGCATAATTCTAACTCACAAAAAAAAAAGACCAGATTTACTGGCCTAAAGGAGACTGGAGAAACCTCGAGAGTAT